TCCTCCTCCTCTCGGGGAGACGTAAGACCCGGGTACGGGGGACTCGGAAATCCCCGACGATGTCGTCGAAAAAGTGACGAGGCCGAGCCTGCATTTTGACGAGGCCTCCCGCTGCAGACATCCCACGAAACTCCTCCTCGTCAAAATCCGAGGCGCGGTCGTCAAAGAACGATGGCGAACCCGAGTCCTGGCAAACCCGGGTCTTACGCTCCCCCGACTGTATCGCAAAAGTCAAGACATCGCACGCCTAGGGATATGTTCCAGGAGTGCTGGAGTATCTAGCGGCCTTCGTTTCTGCAGCACGTGTGGACCATTGGGAACACCTGGAACTCGTCCTGTCCTCTGGGAGCATCGCTGAAACGATCCCCAGCCCCACTGGTGTGGTTTTGGCCCCACAGGCCGATGTATCCCCCTGGGTGGGGACAAATACCCTGAGACCTAGGCGTTGCAATATTTCCACGCCGGGCCTTTGCAACCAGTTTCGGGCGCCAGGGCCCTCACGGATCGATCCAGCTGAAAAATGCAGCAGAAAGATGGGGTCCAGAGATCTGGCCGATGTATCCCTATAGAAGTGGCAATCTCTCTTCTGTGTTTTTTGCTCTCTCTCTCTCTCTCTCTCAGTCTCTTTTCACATATATATGTATATATATATATATATATATATATCCATATTCCCGTTCAGCTCACGCGCCAGAGAGAGCATCTCACCGAGGCTCGAAGACTGTAAAACTATTCACCGCCAGAGGCACAGATCTTGCCGTGGCAGGCGGCTGGTAGCCCGACTGCTACCCTGGCCCAGCGGGCGTGGACGGGGACCCGAAGTCATCCCGCCGACGCCGCCAGGCAAGGGCAGCAGGGGGCAACCAACCGCCAAGAGCCACAAAAGAGCACCCCAAGAAAGGGTGGAGTGGGAGGGGAGCAAAAACAAGTCGGACTACGGACACAGAATCAGCAGAGTTACAATACACCTGATGACTGTGCGAACCACGGCGCTCCCGCCGAACTTAGATGGATTATCCCGCAAGCTAAGGAACATCCATATTCCCGTTCAGCTCACGCGCCAGAGAGAGCATCTCACCGAGGCTCGAAGACTGTAAAACTATTCACCGCCAGAGGCAGAGATCTTGCCGTGGCAGGCGGCTGGTAGCCCGACTGCTACCCTGGCCCAGCGGGCGTGGACGGGGACCCGAAGTCATCCCGCCGACGCCGCCAGGCAAGGGCAGCAGGGGGCAACCAACCGCCAAGAGCCACAAAAGAGCACCCACACCCGCACCAGAGTAGCGTTCTGGCCGAAGGCCTAAGAGGAGGAGCCTCCGGCACGGATGAGGTGAGACATCATCAGTGAAGCAACGGCACGAGTGAGCTGGCGAGGATAAGGCTGAGCGCGGAGGGTCCAGAAGGTTCCAGTTGGGTCCTTGCCCCGAAGCTCGACGTGGGGCTTTCCAGTCCTGGAACACACACCGCGGCCAGTGCAAGTTTTTCCAACGGCCGAAAGGTGAGAGCAAGACAGGAGGAGCAAACGGGTGGGCTTAACCCAAAGCTCTCCATATTGACAGAAATGAAGCACCGTGAACTTAGTGTCATGAGATGATTGAAATTCTAGCATCTGAGGCATGTCCCATAAAAAACTCGTGTTGGGGTTTTCCAACACCGCTGGGACGTTGTGAGCTGCAGCACATCGCAATAGCGTTAACGAGGCCTCTAAAAGACGGTTCCCGTTCTCGACCTTGGCAAGGTCGGGGGCAGAAAGTTCGGGGCGGCCGTCCAGGTGCCAGGGGTCCCGAAGAGGCCCAGGGCCGCGACCATCGTTTTTTCGGGCACGAGAAAAATACGTGCACGGCGTGCCCAACCAGAGGAAAAGACACCTACCAGAGGCGATGTACGACAGCACGCAGCGCAGAACGTCCTCGTCCAGCAAGTCGCCAGCTGGGCCGTGCTCGATGTCCCAGGACAGCGCCGGGATGCCCAGCTCCGCGAAGGACTTGGCCAGCCTACCGCTGCCTGAGAAGACCTCGATCACAAACCCGCTTGTGAGAGACAGAGGCAGGCTCTTGGCGGCCGAAGGGCAGGCTGCCATCCGCCGCGAAGGGCGAGCGAAAGGTTGGCCTCCGCCTCCTGGCACCAGCGATTGGACACGGGCGTCATAACCTTGTGAAGCATTTGCCCTCTGCCCGCCTTCATGCAGCGAAGCAAAGAGCGATCGTCCGTCCAGCGCTCCCGCTGCTTGACCGCCTGGATCTCCCTCGCCGACATCAGGAAGCCCCTCGACGCCCCTCCGTGGCGAAGCTGATACATCTCGATGTTCAGCGAGCCCAGGCCCGCCATGCGGAAAGGCACCTGAAAGCGGCGCACCAGCTGCATCTGGCCGAAACTGAAGAGCCAGACCTCCACGACCCCTCTGCGCAATCCAGCAAGGAGGGCCCCCAAGCCGGGGAAGTCGGGGCTGCCGAGCGGGAGCGTGTCGTCGAGATGGCCGACCTTGGTCGGCTCCTCCCTCCCGAAAGGCCGCAGGAGTAGACTCCAACACGCGAGGGCCACGCCTGCGTTGGCCACGGGCTCGAAAGGGTCGCCCTCGGCCACCGTCACGAGCTCGGACAGGCGCAGGGGGCAGATGAACATGAGGGTCAGCGCCAGCACCTCCT